TTGCTAAATAGAATCAGCCTACAGGGAATATTAATTTCCCTTTTCCCACTATAAGACAAATGTAACTTTTTAACTTGTTTATCAAACAATCAAAGATATATCATTTGGAACATTAACTAAACAAAGTAATTTGTTGTTGAGCATACTACTTCCTGTATTATATATGTAGATATTTCTATGTATTAGACATGAAATTGTCCAACAATTTTGCTTTACACTTTTTTCTTAACAATAATAGAAAAATATATTGATATATGAACTGTTCTTATTTAGTGCATAGCTTCAAATACCATCTCTGGCAGGAATTACAGCAAGGTTCCTATGCTGATGACCATGAGAACTAAAACTGCAACTGTAACCCACACTCTGGATTAAAATAAAAGCCATAAGGAAATCATACTTAAAGGTTTATGTGGTTATTTAGAAGGCTCACAACATCAAGCCTCCCAGGGCTTTTCTCTCTGAATGGTCAGAACTCCCCTATTTGGTTTGAGAAAAGAAATTAATGCACCACAGTTGGTGAAATCATTACGGTAAGTCATTGAAAATTGTGAAATTGAATGCAGTTAGGAAAGCAAAGTTGTCTTTAAAAAGCGTACTGAGGATTAAAGCATCATTATAATATTTCCTTCTCAATAATATTTCAAGTTGTCATGATAGTGAAAAATAGACATTGAAAAAGATCACTTTTCAAATTCCTGAGTGAATCTTTATCCAGATTCATTTAAATACCACCTTCTCTTAATTGTTAACTGCTTTTCACCTGCACCACCAGACACAGCATCTGACAATAAAGTGCACTTTGTTTAAGAAGGGTAAGGATGGTCTATGATGAGCCCTCATGGCCATCCCCAGACTGACAGAGATAGCAGGTGGATTTGCTGCCACCATCCTCCTTTTGCATCAGGATCTAAAGCACTTAGTTAGTCTAGTATAGCAGGGGCAAGTCACGAGGTGGTCTCATTAGAAGAGGCTCTTGTCTGAAGCAAGATGTAGTTTATTGCATGATAGCAATCAGGTACAAATTATATTGCGATGATCGATGTTGTTATTAAGACTCTGAGGAAGACTCTGGATGGTAAGTCAATCTCATTTGAGCTGAAGACCTGTTCTCCTACCCAAACCTGTATGATACCATTACGTTAGACAATGTGTAATGCACTCCTCAGCCTTAATCCTTTCCGAGCTGAACATCTTGTACAAACGATGAAATGGAGTAAAACATGCAACATAGATTTTTCCATAAAGTCTGCGTTCAGTTGTCAACCACCAGCGTTTTTGGCAACAGATAGAAATGCACCCAGCTACAGGGCTCAGAACCACAAAGTGGGAGAGAGGTAAATTAGTAAATAGGTCACAACAATAGAAAGAAAAAAAATAGAGAATCTAAAGAGATAGCTGTGATTTGTAATTCATGAACAAAACAGCTTTCCTGAGGCATCAGATGTCAAACACACTTCCCAGTGTTGCACTCATTTACACAGACTAGGAAAGCTGCAGGTTTGATCCATAGTTTAAGGCTATCAAAGATGGGACACCAAGAGGTGAACTACAATCTGCTTCAGCTTCCTGAGGCCAGGGAAATTAAAATGAGTCAGCAGGATTTCTAAATAATGATCATTAGCCAGTGACTTCTGGATGTTAGGTGAAGCAGCATCAGTTTGAGTTATGATGCACCTACAGTGGAATAGGTGGCTGACATTCATTGCTACATGTATGCACAAGAATAACAGCAAAGTGAAAGAGGTAGAAGAAGGTTCTGCAGTGCCCATGAAACCAAAACCTATTATGAAATAGCACCTTCAGGTGGGGAGGGGGATGAAAAACACTGTGGGGGAACTGGAGATAAATGAGCACATTCCATAGCAAGAATTAACTTCAATGTTGAGAATTAAAGATAACCACCTGAATTTTGTTGGGAGTAGTTAAACAAATTGACAAGGAACACCAGAAGTGAAATTTCTAATTTATATTCATTCATTAAACACATAGCCAGTGATGTGCTTAACTTCCTAAATAACTATCTTGTGTCCGTATGACATGCACAATAAAGCAGTGATTGAGCAGGAAATTAATCTTGAAGATTGGGATATGGCAGCATGCAATGCAGATTACGAGTCATTAGTAAGCAACTTCTGTGATGCATAAACTTCCTTTTTCACTTCCTGTTTGTGCACTGATGGGAAACAAAACATCCTACAGGGTATTTGAGCAGCGTGAGATTTGAGAGCCTGGGAACCAATCTTCAGAAACTTGCTGTTCTCACATTAAGCGTTAAATGCCTTAAACAGATGAAAAATGCGCTTCTCTTCAAAATTCCATTGGTTGCAGCTGAGTGCTTTAGAAATTCTGGTTCTTCCATTCTGCACTGTGCACAACATTAAACAAAAAATACTGCAAGTCAAATGAGGCAATGTCCAAAATAGAACTGGGCCTGCTGGGTGTGATCAATAATCAAAGGGCTTTTTGTAACTAAGGAGATGCTTTTATCCTGCTGGAATATTGATCCATGAACAGATATGGGAACACAAGTAAGTGAAGGTGCTAATGTGAAAAAGTGAAAGACAGCATGCCCTTGTGCCCCATTAATAGGTTATTAACAGATTGTGTTGATTTTATAACGGGGAGGTTTACAGAGTGTGTGAAACAAAACAGGCAGAATATGTGAATCCGCAATGGGGACATAATCAGCCAACACCAAATGAACAGTTTGTGTGTCAGGAACCCAATTTGAAAGTGATGACAGGTGCCTTTTGCTGTACTCCCTAAACTTCACCGTAGATTTCACAGTCCAAGGGGAAAAAAATCCTCCCTGCATCTCTCCTGTCCAGCCCTGTTAGAATTTTATTTATTTCAATCAGATTCCCTCCCATCCTTCTAAACTCGAGTGAAATGGTATTACTGCTACCTCCCGACACGCTGATCTCGTGCAATGTAAAAGAAGCTTATTTCCTATTGCATTCTTACAATTAGTACTATGTAAGCCTCATACGCACATTTCCCAGCTTACTTGCACTGCCAACTATTCACCCATGACAGCCAAATCAGTCCAACACAACACAACACTCACAAATACACTTCCTTCTCTTGCAAGACCAAGAAGCACATACGTAGAGGATGCAGAAACCAGCTGGAGGGAAACAAGTGCTACTGGATTGCCTGGTAATAATGGTGGAAATATTGCCTGTATTTATATGAATGGCCATCACTGAAGCAGTGGCCAGTAATGGGGCTAAAGCCATCAAAGATGATGATACCTTCATACTTTAGCCCCTCATATTTCACCAGCCCCTCATTTCACATTATCTTTTTAATTACAGGTTGTTGATGAAAGGTAATCAACCTAAAATGTTAACTCTGTGTCTCTTTGAGCAGATGCTGCCTGAACTGTTGAGTTATTTCCAACTATTTCTGATTATATTATGTCTGTTGGTTAGATTATACAAACAAGCTTGCAGGATGTCGGAACAGTCCAGCAATCAGTCCTCCGAAAGGTTACTTGGTTTTCGGAGGTACCACACCTTGGGAGACCATGACATTGGGTTCACAGAATATGAAATTGTTGTTCACCTTTCAGAAAGACGGCCATCATCGTCCTGTCTCTGCCTGTCTGGCAGTGCGCATGTTGTTGCCAGCTAACTAACAGATGTATACCATTGCTGCCAATGCTGTGTTAGCAGCCAGAGCTCCAACTCATTTTCCCATGTTATCCACAATCTCTTCCACTGAATGTCAGCAGCCATGTGGTAACCACTGGGTCCACAATATATAGGAGCACAAAAACAGGCAAAGACACATGGAAGACAAGGTCCATGGGGAACCAATTGACTTTTGTGTGCAAGAGGATATGATTTAATTCATGAATATGTTTTGGAATGTTTATTTCATGATTGTTTTTGTTTTTTTATTGTGTTCAAGAGGTTAATGTATGTTCAAACACAACTGTTGAATGGGAGGTTGGGATAAAACTCCCGTTATTTCCAATACCTGCTGCTTTGGCTCCTCAGCTGATCATCATATAGTTAGTATTAGTATTGTTCCCCCATGGTAATGCAGCGTGTATTAACAAGCAGGAGGCCCAGTTTTAAAGTAAGGAGTAGAAGTTTTAGAGGGGATTTGATGAAAATTTTTCACCCGGTGAATGAGAGGATCTGGAACTCACTACCTAAAAGGGTGAGAAAAGTGGGAACTCTCAAGACATTTAAGAACTATTTAGATGAACACTTGAAAAGCATAGACGGCTGTGGGGCCAAATGCTGGAAATTGGGATTAGAATAAATGGATGTTTGATGATCAGAACAGACAAGGTAGGCTGAAGAACTCTTTCCTGGAGCAACAGGAATCATGACACCTTGTATGCTGCATGTAATGAAAACATTGTTTTAGATCACTCATGTTTTAGCACACTTATGCTCTTCTTTGTCACATTTTGTATGCTAATGCATTTCATTGTATACTTGCTGCACATGTGATTGACTCTTGCAAGGGAGGCATTGGTCAGGTTGTTAGTGGATTGTCTTTGTGTGATGGCTGAAATGCAGCTGGTACAGTGGACTGCTGCAGAATGATGGTACCATGACTGTAGACAGAATACCAGGCATTACCTGCATGATTGTGTGCCACATGTCACAGTCTAGCTAGATCTCGAGTGGAATCACTTTCTATTTCGTGCCACATCCGCTAAGCGTCAGCCTTTACACAATTGGTAGCATACTTATCGCTGAGTGAGAAAACTTGTAGGTTAACCTCCACTCCAAAAACCTGAGCACAAAATTCTAGGTTGGCATTCCTTCGACAATGGAAGTCTGCAATCTCAGTGAAGCTGCATGCTTAGTCCACCTTGCTTACTTTGGCAAGAGAGAATTAACTTTATTTTTTAAATTTCACCATTTCTCATGACAGGATTAAAAATGATGTCCCCAGAACATCAGCCTGGAGTTCTGGATTACTAGTCAAATCACATTACAACCATACCACTTCCCACCTCATTAACTTTTCTTAAAAGTATAGGATGATTCATGAATTTGCATGTCATCCTTGGACAAGGGCCATTCTAATGTTCTCTTTATCATTCCAATTTTAGTGTATGTTCTGCTAAAGCAAGTACATGACTTTTAATTTGCTTACAGAGAAGAGAGAATTAGTGACATCCTTTATGAAACAGTGGATAAGACATGTGAGATATTGCAAACAGCTCCAATACTAGTAGTCCTCTCGCTAGTTTTGATTGCAGTTGTGGCAGTAGTAGTTTTCACATTTTGGTGAAGAAGCACTTATTAAACCACAGCCGTTTCAGGCATTGCTGATTCCTGAGGGTCAGGTAGGAGAATTTGACCCAAATCTACCAGGTGGATATGACTTCCTGGTGACGGGGAGGGCATTAACTACAGTGTTGAGCTTCAAATTGACAGCCCTGGTCTCAAAACAATGTTACAAATGATTGATGTCATGATCTGCCTGCTTTGTATAATTACTGCAGTTGTTGGTGTGTCTGTGCGTGTGTGTGTCTGTGTGCTGATGCCCTCACCAATATTTTGTCCAGTGGGAGTCATCCCAAAGTGTGCACACATGCACCACAGATGCTGTTCAGGAGCTCAAAAGGCAGTGACAAAAATATAGTTGCAAATGATCTCAATTTCTCACCCATCAGCTTGAGAAAATTCAACAAGTTTACTCAGTGACTGTTATTACCTTTGCACATCCTGCATGTCAGAAGCCAGTCGCACTAACCCAACATAAAAGCATGTGTGTGACAAGTTATACTTATCTTACTGGCCTGATGTGTCATTATAGCAATGGAGCTGTTCTGTAATCCAATGTACAATGCACTGGATATTGGAACTGCCATCTACTGGTCAGATTCCAACCTCTCAGGCCAGTAAGGTAAATATAACTTGTCACACAAACTGGCACTTCTCTGTCATCTGAAACATCGTAGATTGCTAGATGTAAGGCATTTTGCAATACATGACATGTAGTGAATGTACAAATATGTTTATAACAACAGTTTGCGTGGCAAAAAAAGTCAGAACTTCAGATTATGCGTAGTCAATCTGGTATTACTTGTGTGAAAGGGCCAGTATTTAGTAAAGTTTAATTTGTTTACAGTAATTATGACAGCAAATGCAGTTGAATAAATATCAAAGTTGAAATATCTATCAAAATACAATAATGTAAAAGTTTCCATCTTTTCTTTTATTGTCAAATAAATGCATGGAAAATAAAAAGAATACAGGAGAAGGATGGGAACTCCACAAAGCGTACAGTCTTGATGTTTTGAATGGCCTACTCCTGCTCTTATGTTCCATGCAGTCTGGATTTATTGCACTAGCAAACCTCATTTACTTGTGCTCAATGTGTTTTTTTAGTGACTCTTGGGATGTGATTATCACCTGCTGGGTCAGCATTCATTGCCCATCTCTAAATGCCCTCCAGAAGGCTATTGTGAGCTGCCTTCTGGAACCACTGCAGTTCAAATGTTGTACGTATATCCACAATGCCTTTAGGGAGGAAGTTCATGGATTTTGTCCCAACGACACTGAAGGAACAGTGACATATTTCCAAGTCAGGATGTTGACTGAATTGGAGCAGAACCTGTAGGTGGTACTGTTCTCATGTACCTGCTGTCCTTGTCCTTCTCGATGGAAGTGGCCATGGATTTGAAAGATACTATCTAAGGACCTTTTACTAATTTCTACAGTGCATCTTGTAGATGGTACATACTACTGCTACTGAGCATCATTGGTGGATTGTAGGAGTTGTTGTCTGTTCTGGATGTTGTCAAGGTTTCTGGAGTGTTGTTGAAGCTGCATTCATCCAGACAATGGAGAGTATTTCATCCCACGCCTAACTTGTGCCTTGCAGATGGTGAACAGGCTTTGGAGAGTCAGGAGGTAAGTTACTTATCCCAGTATTCCAAGCCTCTGACCTGTCTAATAGCCACTGTATTTATATAGCTAGTCCAGTTCAGTTTCTGGTCAATGGTAACCCCCATAATGTCGATAGTGAGAGATTCAGTGATGGTGACGCGACTGAATGTCAAGGGGAAGTGGTTAGATTGTCTCTTATTGGAGATGGTGATGGGCACCAACTAGATCCAAAGAATTAGCCAGTTGCTTACGTCACAATGCAATATGCAATAATCCTTTTAAAATATTCCCCATTTCAACCCACAATTTTAAAACACACAAAAATATGTAGACATAGTCTTTACAGACATAATGGACAGCATTCTTTTCTTTGAGCCAGAATCTAAGGTTCAAGTTAACTCAAGGACAGTCAATGAAGGCACATTCAGTTGAGGATAAACTTAAAAACATCTTTCCAGCATACAACAATGGCAGGCAGTAGGAGCAAAAGAGATTACTGGTGTGCCATTGGATGGAACTAATTGGAGCTTATACCATCATTACGCATTGCATCACACTATAACATGTTTGTAAAGATGTTGTTTCAGCAATTTAGACTCCTTATTTGATGCTGTTGGGTGGATAGCCAATGTGGATCAGATTGCTACCAACAGCAAGGATTTCAATTTATGTTCTGTCTGCGGTGGATTCGGGGTACACCCCCTTGCCCTTGATGTTGATAGCGCTGTGGGTTTCACCAGCCTTCTGGCAGAGAACTCAACAGGAAGATATTGCTAAATTTACCAGTTGAGGTTTCCTTCCACATTACCATCACATCCTAAGACCCCATCCATAGAAAGCTAAACCTCAATGTTGCCCTATGATTGGTTAGCTCCCTCACCACTTCTGTTAAACGACACATATCTACTTTCAAGCTGCAGTATTTAAGATGTTTTCCTACGCATTCTGTGCTTTAAGAAAGTCAGAGATAAAATTCTAATAAAATAACATACGGCACAAAAAGACAATCATTTACAGTTTTAATAGAAAGAGAGAGGGAAAATGCCAAATTTTGTGTCTAAAACACTGCAAAAATCCTCTTGATTGTCCATTAATAAAAAAAGTTTGAGCCACGATAAAAAAATTCTCTTATTCACCATGAACAATACAGAAGGTTTATTACTCATACATAAAGACGTCCTTCTGCATGCTGTTCCTGTCATGTGTGAGTTACACTTTGATGACAACCGGTTTGTTGTTGAGCACTGAGCATGTGCACCATGTGTCCAATTCCTAGTTCCTTATTTTGTATGTTCTATTGCGTTCTGGAAACCACTATTATTTCTTTCAAGCTAAGAAGAGTAAAGATAATTTAACTATGAAGGTAAGAAATAATATCTGGGCTACAAAGTTACCGATAAAGTTAAAATAAATTAGTTAATACTGTTTGGTTAAAATAACAGCCAAAAGAATGTTAAAAAGACATGTTTAATGTTCATCTGCTATTATCACCGAAACATATTTCTCACTTCTGTGACAAATTTGAACCAGTCCAAAAGCTATGGTTTTCTATAAAGAGGCCACAGGTTGGATCGGCTTCACATTGCATGCACTTGATTATGCCTGGATATTTCTTTCTTCCTTTATCTAGGTGTATACCCTTTAAACCCAGAATCCCTAAACAAGGACCAAGGGACCTGGGTTCAAGTCCCACCTGCTCCAGATATGTGTAATAACATCTCTGAACAGATTGATTAGGAAAATAATTAAAGTTAAAAAAAAACATAGAGCTCGTAATCAATAATAATTCTTCATAAAAACATGTACTCCAAATGATTCCAACACACAAGCAATACATATGCATATTTCTGCATCTCACTTGTGCCTTCATGGCTAAAGCAATATAATCATAAAGCATCAAATAAAAAAGCAACATGCAGGAACATATTCAATCAAATGAGTAATATGGAAAGACAACTGCAAAGCAAATTGAAAATTCCGTACAAAATAAATCTTCCAGCAGTAGCCAATTAACAATTAGCAATAAAGAAGACAAGGATGTCTTCAATGACTCAAAACCTTTCTAAAAATCTTTTTGCCTGCCCACCATCTTGTTTTCCCAATCACCAATGCACTAATCATAACTAATTCTGCTCATAGGAAAGTGGACCTTCTTCTGCTCTAGGTCTCCCTGCAGTTTTGAGGAACTGTTGGATTAACACAGGAATCCTCCCCCTTAAAACACTGACAACTGAATTGAGCAGGTGCAAATGCCATTCTACAATGCAAGTGGGCATCTCAATATCAGTTTCAAACAGTAGCTGAACCCAGATGTTGGTTGCACCAAAGTGATCTTCTTTTGCCCCCCTGCTTTTGGTATTAATTGATGTTAAAACTAGTTCATACCTTATTCACTTCTTTATCATTTATGGGATGTGGGTGTAACTGGAAAGGCCAGAACTTGTCGCCCATCCCTAATTGGTCTTGAATTAAGTGACTTACTTGAACATTTCAGAAGGTAGTTAAGAGTCAATCACATTACAATTCAACTGGAATCTCATGTAGGTCAGACTAGGTAAGGATGACAGATTTCCTTCCCTAAAAGATATTAGTTAAGCAGATTTTTTAAAATATAACTCATGAACATAAATGATTTTGATGGAAATAAGTGAAAGTAGTCATAATTATTATCCAGTATCTTCAGCTTATGAGAAATAAACAGCTATAAAATTCATCTCAAGCAGTAACACAATTTCTCATCACATTGATAAAGTTCACACATAAAAGACATAAGCACCCAGAACAATTCACAAGGAAATGTAAATGTTGTATTGCTCAGTTATTTTATGAAATAAAGTTGAATGTCTTGATTGCGCTCATCATCTTTCCCATCATAAATTTAATACTAAACATCAAAAGTCTATGGGCAGTGTTGACAAATGTTCTCTGACCTTACTTAATATCAGCTCAAATACTAACCCAAATGTATAGATTCCCAAACAGTTTTTTCCAAGTAGCATGTGCAGGATCATTTCTAACTTCTTTTGCCATCTGCATAGCTTTCTGAAATCACTCCGGAAAACTGTAGACACCATAATAAATATTTTCATTTTTGTGCATACGTCCCCTTTTTACTGCAAATTTCTCCACTAAGTCCCTCCTTCTGAATTGATAGTCATAGTTTTTTGTTACCTGTCCCCCCATCATGATTCTCACTCTTATCCTCAGGAATTTCTCTTCAGTTTTGCCTCCTCTTCTA